CAGCTGCCACCTGATTGTCTCGACCTTCGATATGCCGGATATCACTTGTAAAATGTGGTATAGCCAATTTGTCGGACTTCTTGAGGAGGATATTTATCGGCTCTAGCTCTTAATACATTGGTTAGCGGTTTTTAATCCATATAAACTATAAATTCCCTGCCTTCTAACTTGTGTTGGAAATGTTTAACAATTAGATGGACTACAAGAAGCTCCCATCCAAAAGTAGAATTTCACGTCTATCTTGGAGTAAGTCACTTGGAAAAGAATTCACTGATTCCCAGGCATTTTTAACCAGTTGGTTAGGGATACCGCCTACTGCTTTGTCCGACGTATCCACCATCAAAGCGAGTGGGGAATGGGAATTCGGATGCGTCAGCGCAGATACTTGAGCTAGTTTATCTTTCAGCTGTTTAACAGCCTTAACAACCTCAGAAGTCCTCCTAAATTCGTCCAGATGTCTTTTAGGTGAATCTGTCAAAGGCTGCATCAATTGTGCACAATTGGATATGAATCTTTGAGAGAACTTCATTAAACCTAGAAAACCTCTATGTTGTGAAAGAGAACTTTGTGTGGGATATTGTCTGAGGGTGTTCACTTCTTTTTTTATCGATGCAATCCATTTTGGGCTTACTTTGCGCCCGAAAAATTCTAGAGTTTGAGCAATAAAAACACATTTACTTTGATGTATGTGTAGTCCATTTTCATTTAACCGTTTTAACACTTCTCTCATATGCTGTTCGTGTGATTCTAAGTCAGACTGGCGATTAACAAATCGTTTATATATCCCTAAGCGAATGCTATGTCCCGGAATAGGTTGTTTGAAAATCTTCAAAGTGTTTATGTTGCATTCCTCAGGCTGAATGTCATGCATGCCAACTCTAACGGTCCAAAAGGTGTAGTAACATATGTCCTAAGTAAACCTCCATCATCTACTGAGATTTTGTGATGTGCTCTGACCAAATCAATTTCAGTGAACATGTTCGTATTGTGTAAGTCGTTTGTAAAACCTTGGATCTGAGATATTAGGTACTTATTTGGCACGGTTTGACGGTTGAGGGATTTGTTATTCCCTAATGGTTTCCAATCGCCCTCATTTGCATTTGAGAATATATGCAAAGGAGTTGCCCACTGTCAAATCCGGCTGGAATGATTTAAAGCTAATCCGGAGCCGGTTTTCTGGGTCTAGCAACCACAGGTGCATCTTTGATTTTGATCACATGACTTACTATTGGAGTTTGTAATAAATTCACAGAGGTGCCTTTTGTATAACTCGAAGTTTTCTTCAGTTTCAAACGTCGTTTTTGGTTGTTGAATTGAAATTCATATCTCTCTGAAAACTCTATTCACAGCACTGTCATATCTAAATCGGCTACAGTGAACACTCAGTGGAATAGCTCCTTAAACCACAAATCTAGCATATAAGTTTTCTGCTCAAACGTGTTACTGGGGGTGTTTCTCGACGCACCTCAACTCTGTTCTAAAGAATGATACTAAGAGCAGCACCAGTATAAACCGAAACGTTTAAGCATGAATTTTGTTTCCTAAAATAAAACAAGCCACTGCTAGACACCCCGCCTCAGTCGTCGCAACCTGTGGAGAGATTATTAGTTTCCCAAATTCCTGATTTTGTTTAGGCTAGGCGCTTGGTTGACTACACTTGGTCGACTTTTCACCAGACTTCCAGTAAATCCAACAGAACTATCCAGATTGTCTGAATGTTTATGACCTGTTCTGTGACATGGATCTCGTTAATCGTGGTGACCCACTCTTATTTGCATGTTTGTGACGTCCTCTGAAAGTTTTCGCGTACGATGTATCGTACGTAAATCAGCTGATGGACCTCGCTCTATTATTCTATCTTCAGTACGCTCTGAGTGACATGAGATGTCAGGGTCTTGTACATGCAGATAGTGTTGGACACAACCTGAGAAAGCTTGTGTCCATCGTTGTTTGTTGGACTGCTTCGCCCACTGTGTTATCGCCCACTAAGACTTAAAGGTTACGCGAAAACGGTGATGGTGACTTATCTACTAAAAAGCCTTTGGATTCTTCCACCATCTGATAAAGATAAACGGTTAGTTATCTCTCATCTAAAGATGGCGCATGGTTGTATTGTTAGTGAATTTAAAATCAAGTCGCGGACTTCGTCGATTGAAAGAGGGAGGATAGGACATAAATCTCAATAAACAGCTCTAGTTGAGCAAACCACAACTCGGGGTCACTAGGATCAAATTCTGGGAGTTGGGTTTTCTTAATCATAAGTGTCTACCTCCGCCGGCGGCAAGTATTCCGGGCTTTTGTTTTGTAGTGAGTTTGATCAAAATGGGGTAAAATTATGAATACAACACAAATATCTTGCGATAAAAAACTATGCGTAAATGTATGTATCAAACCTCATTTAAGGATAATCAGAGGGCTTACTTTTACGATCAAATAGTAATGGTGAACACAGAACTGAAGTTTGTGTTCAATACAGGGCCCACCACTTTCATGCCTCTAGGTATCTCTCGTTCTCCTAATAGAAGAAACCAGACTAATAGTGGACGCCTTTATTTAGCTCGTGAGTGACACAGTGGAGGGCGAGGTTACTTGTTCAAACACACAAAGCTTTTCAACATTCAATATAAGATGATAAGAACTGAAATTTCCATACAACATAAGAAAGTGAATGAATACTTGAGCTCTATTTTTTAAACATATATTTAGGTATTTGAGATGGACTCTAACTAATCGACCCAAGTTGTTGCAGTGTCTTACAACAATAGGAAAACAGCACCTGATAACCTTCAGGACTCTTCGTGAGACGATTGTTTCTAATCGAGATAGTGTGTAGAATTATGGTGTACTATGATATTAGTACTGCTCTAATAATGATAAAATTGCATATTTGTCATGATGTAACTACCTAACCCATAAGATCTAACGTGGAAGTCACATCATCGTCTAAACCAACTCATCGCATCGTAACAATTACCTACATATGTCACAACACTCAAGAGTCACCATCCCTGCAAGGCCGAACCGTGCTGTCCGATCAATTCGAACTAATTTATTGCATTCTTTCCATCTTCTCCATCGTTGGGTTTTTCTCCGCGTTAAATGCTGAATATCTATCTTCCCAGTTGTCTCGTGTTCAGCTTTGAGGATTTTTTGGTTAGGACCCAATGCTACCACAAGTGAAATAGCCATGTTTTGGGTTGCACAACACTTTCAGCGATCTGTGAAAGGACGAGAATTCACTCTTTTCACCGATCGAAATCCTCTTATCTTCTCTTTGAGCTCATATTCAGACAAGCATTCTCCTCGAGTGTCTCGACAAGTGGACTACATTTCGCAGTTAACTTAAGATAAAATACACCTTTCTAAAGATAACAGCGTACTGGAAGAGGCCTTGTTTCACATGACGTCCCTGGACACTTTTTGAGGAATCAACCTTCTTAAATTTGCTTAGCTTCAAACAGAAGACACTGATCTTCAGCACAAGTTATCTTCGACAACCCTGAAACTACGTACCAAGCAGATGGAAACAGGTAAGGAAACTTTACTGTGTGATATATCTGCAGTTTGAGACCATTCAATCTTGTCGAAATATTATCGACACAATGTTTTCAATACGTGGCACAAGCTCTCTCATCCAGGTGTTCATGCAACCATCAAGCTCATAGCAGGACGATTTTGTTGGCCTAGTTTTAACAAAGGTGTGAGGGATTAGACACGCTTCGGGAGACAAAAAATGACTAGACATACCAAATGTCTTTTGTGCTCTATTAAAACCGTCGACTCTCGTTTTGACCATGTTTATCTCGATTTGGTTGGATCCTAACAAGATATGGCTGGACACTCCTACCTCTTAATGTGTAGGGACAGTACCGCATGATGGCCAGAAGTAGTAAAAATTAATGACATTACTACAGAAGGATGGTTAACAAACATCGACTGCCCTTCAACTATTACTATAGACCTGAACTTTTTCTTTGTCGTACTGCACTACTAGGAATCACAAAATGCCGAATGATCGCCTAGCAAACTAAAGCAGGCAGGTTGACAGAACGATCTCACCAACACTTAAAAGCTCTGATCTGCAAATGTTTGACAGTGTACTGACGCTCTTCTACTCAATTTGTCTAGTATTCACAATGCAGTGAAAGCTGACGTTGGATACACTGCAGCATAACTTAGTTACGGAACTACACTTCACCTTCCAGTAGACTTTGTGGATTCTTCATTTTATTCAGTGTTTATGGATGTAATTTCTCACACGAGCAGGCTTAAAAACTCCATAAGTCCAGTTAAGCCCATTTCCACTTCACCTCAGTCAACAGATGCTCTCATTCAAGCTATCTTATGACATAGTACGTCGTGATTCATTACGACAATCCCTGTGAATGGTAAACGAAAGATCCTTTAGAGTCCATCGTCGTAAACCTAAATACTATATCATTGATATAAACGGAAATAAAGATAACGTCATCATTGACCGTGGTAAAGTCCCGTGTATAGAAGGAGGCCTTAATAACGTTGATTTTCACCCAACGCACTCTGATGACGCAAGTCTGACAATCAATCACAAAGAAACCTCGTTGGTGTCTGAAAACCGAAACAAAAAATGAGCTCTGAAAAAAGAGTAAGTTTTCCAGAGCATTTAAACGATTACTGCACGTACGACACCACATAAAATTTTATTTCATATCGATTTTTCCATTGTTTTTGTTTCAGAAAATACGTTGTTTACAGATACTTAACTCCCATCCGTCTTCAATGACACGCACTGTTCAAGAACCGGTTCTCCAAAATTAGTTGTTCTGTACTCCTAACAAGCATTTATTTGCCAGAAGACTCCAAGTAACATCAGCGAATCCATATGTTTCTAACATTGTCAGATGTTCACACAAATATTGAAAAAAAATGCATACTCGTTGAAATGAACTTTAGATACGTAGATCTCCGAAAGCTTCTATACGGTACAATATCTGACTTTTCCGAAAGATATATGGCAGAATCAAATACAGTATGCTTAGTAAAACAATTTTACGAAGTTCGGCGTCTAATGTTCTTAAGTGAATAATTAAGCGATTTATTAAAGACGTTGCTATTATTTAGTTCAAATAGCAAATGCCTCTATGATATTCATTTTGTCCAATTAAAATCATGAAACGATTGTCTGACATATCGAACGAAATCACTTATTTCAAAGTTTGTTTTTATTTATTAATACTTCATTTCGTTTTATGGCAAAATCTTGAAAATTATTTCTCAGTATGTATTAGCGCTGTGATTTTCTGTATCATTATCGTCGACTGAAAAATCTCTCAAATGGGTGAAAATTTACATAAGAAGTCTGACTTGGAAGTTGAAAATGAAAATGTCGTTGTTGACTCAGTATTGATGCATAAAGCTACGCCAGAATATCTTCAAGAACTACTAAAAGACAAGAGGCAGCTGCAGAATTTCCCAAACATATTCTTACACTTAGAATTCATTTTGGAGAAAGGTAAATGCTTCGTTAATATATCTCATATGTTTAGCTTGAAGTTATCAGATTGTATCTTGTTTTAGGTGGTGCAGAGGTAATGTCAGACCTAACAGACTTACAGTATAGATTATAAAGCCGTACCTGCATCCTAACATTTATAAATTTATATTTATTTCCAGTCCCTTTGTATATGAATCGCTCATTCAACTGGCCTTATCTTCACACTTTGTTAATAAAACCACATGTTTCTTTAGCTTGTCGTTAATATTTAGTGAATTGTACTAATTTTGTTAAAATATTAAAATTGACATGTGAAATGTGTTGCTCAAATCAACAATAATACATCATTTGTGCTTCTAATTGGGATCTAATATAGTCTTTAACGTTACGTTGTGTATGTCTAAACTTTTGATCAGTACCATTTGTTTAAGACTATTGAAATACTAATCTAAAACCAAGCTTGATTTATGATAATGCACTTATTCTAATACATTTTGAGAGTATCACAGTAACATAATTATTATAGTTTTGATTTCCTTCAGTCGGTAGTGAGGGTTATCTCACCATAATAAAAGTTTATTTGAGTGTTTATCCAATACCTTTGTACATTATAAATTGTTTGATGTCACTTAAGATTATCGTTGTGTATTTTGCCATTGCAGAAATTACTCGCGTAAGGCAGAAGCTGTTTCATTTAAACGAATCAGTAAAGAAAACTGAAAACGAGCTTCCAGTACCCTCCGGAAATATTGTGTCATTGCAAGAGAAGGTATTTGTTCCTGTGAAAGAAAATCCCAATGTTGGTTGACTTCATTTGCCTAAATAATCCTAATATTTTAGTATAACTTTGTTGGACGCCTCCTTGGTCCAAGAGGATTGACTGCAAAACAGCTTGAACAAGATTTGGAGTGTAAAATCATGGTGAGAGGTAAAGGATCACTTAGAGACAAAAGAAAGGTAAAACGTGACGAATTAAAAATAATATGTCGAAATTTCGTTATCACTTATACATCGCATAGTACAAATTGTGCAGACTTAATAAAGTTTTAGTCTTATTACTATGAACGTTTCGTCATGATGATTAGAATTTCGTCTTATGGTAAAATGGATGGTTTTATATGATTCTCTTTAACTAATAATTGACTATTCTACGGATACATTTTTAACATGTTGCTGAAGTAAATCACTTTTAAATAGTTTTAGAAGATGTTAGTAAGAAACTAAGTTTTTATAGATGGATAAATAATATTTTGATATCTTGATCTGATATATTTTTATCGTTTGTACGTACGTATACATAGTAAAATTACTGGTGTTTTTGTGTACGTAAACTAATGTCATCACATTCGAAAAAATGTCTTTTTGGAAGGGATGTTACCGGTACCTAGTGATCACTTCATAGTGGAACTTAAAGAAGACACCACAGTAGGTAGTATCACACAGATCGATGAAGTACAAATATTAACCACTTAGTCAAGCGAAAAGAAATCAGATAGACAACGTTACTTTTTTTTGCAAGCTACATTGTAATATGTTTTGAAGATTGAAACCAGTTATCTGTGGTTGAAATTTTAAGCGTTTAAAAATTTTGCTTTTTAGTCTTAACTGACGAAAAATTGTCAAGTAAATATTGACAATAACATGATAGCTTCAATATTCCTATTCACTAGCTGTCCTATACATCAATTACATTCTTGATTGAAATTCATTCTTTCTGTTAATTCACCAACCACATACTATGGTAGTTTAAAACATAAAGCACGTGTACAGCCGTAGGTTTTATAAGAAATAATGATGTCTCATGACGGATTAAAATTTCCTTACGGACTTAGAATGCCACTATGAGGAGTTATTGCACGTGTTTGACTATATAGTGCATCTTCAATTTGTTTTTTTAATGTTGCCATGTTAACCTATAAAGTAGATCATAGCAGAATTCTAAACATCTTGTGTCAGAATTATTTGTTATGTTTGATGTATTCTTTTGCGTTGGTTAAATTACCTATGTTCATATCGCCAATCATCATTTTATTAGTGTAATCTCTAAGAAAAAGATTCTAATTCACAAGACTGCCCATCAATGGTCTTCAATTTGGTTGTACACCTGTATTTTGTCCACACAGATTATTATCGAGTTTTATGTTGTTTTTGGAGTGCCAAGCCATTTCGGCAGCAAAGTTTTATTTCAATTTCAATGTAATGGTGTTGATGTTTACTTACTGAAGATATCGATTTCGTAATGACTCAGTTGTTCAACCAGATTTCAAAATTATCGACGTTTTTATTTTACTTTTACTAAACAGAATCCTTTTAGAATTTATAACCTGAGTAACATGTCCCAAATAACAATTCAATAGATGATTTATGTTCTCTACATGTAAATATATCAATACAAAATATTCCTATAGGAGGATTCAAACAAAGGGAAACCAAACTGGGAACACCTCGATGAGGAGTTGCATGTTCTGGTGAGCGTCGAAGATTTTGAAAGTCGTGCGGCAATTAAGCTGAGAAGAGCGTCTGAAACCATTCGTGCATTTCTTGAGCAAGGAGTGAGGACGGTAAGTAGAAATTTTAGCTCTATAGGACCTAAAACGTTCTGTAAAGACATGCTTTTAAATGTTGCTTTGGAAATCAAAGCAACCATATTTCGCGACCCTTTCAGAATTCAGTTGTCAAAAATGGTCTGCTAGATCACGAATTAATAATTCCGTTATCATCATAACAATTTAGTCTCCTTGAAAAACTAGTCAGAGATGTTCTTTTATTTTTGTGCGTAACTAAAATGAGTTTTGAGTTAAAGAAGGATTTCGGAACACAAAAATAATTTTGATGTGGCAAAAACTCGTATAAACAATTTGCGAGTAATTTTAAATTTGAGAATGAGCTCGAAGAAAAGCATTTCGAGAAAAAAATCGAAACTTACTAATTTATAGCACTAAAACTGAGGGCAGGTTACTCAATATTTACTAAATGTTCTTAGTGAGTTTAATTCACTTTTTGAAGGACGGGAATAATGACACTTGTTTAGTGTAAGAATCTATTCGTCTTGTCGATATTTTTTGATAATTTATTTCATATCAGATGCGTATAAAACAACTATAAGGGGTATCAGTTTTGCACTGTGATCCGTTGAATATAACCCTAAGTTATTGCGTAATCGATTAAATAAAGTACTTAGGTAAAAAAAACCACTTCAGTTTGCCTAGATGGAATCAATAAATGTACTGTGCTTCATAAATATCTCAAAAACAATCTACTATAAATAGGTAGTTAGTACTAGAAACAAGTTTGTGCACTATGCACGCATATTATCAAAAGTAGTCGAATGAGCGATTCTAAGTATATGTAGTTACAAAATTTCTAATCCTAATAATAACAAATGTTTATAATCCGTTACTTTACTTTATTTTACAGTTTTCTTGCGTTTTTAAAAAAACGCAGCCGTAACTACTCAAAATTCTTGATAGTTTGTTAACTATTTGGGAATAAGTTTGCAACCTTAAAACGGGTTAGTATCTTAACCATTAAAAGCATATCAACGACACTTAATTGATTGTTACACTCTCATATGAATTGTTCGGATTGGGATTTGAATGGTAGATTTTTAACTTAGGGAAGCTATAGTTTATCGGGGCGTTCATTGAGTTGGACCGGCGCGGGAATTTGTCTTTCACACAACTACTAGTCAAATGCTGACTCGAAACCACTATATGAAGTCTAACCGAAGGAGTGATTTTCCCAGATATCTCGAAAGTGATTTCGAGGATTTGTGCCACAATCTATTCAGACTAAATGTCCGTAGTTATTCTTCTTTGGTATTATGTAGACACTCACATTGTTCTAGTTTCAGAAATCTATCAAGGAATCCAGGTGGATATGTATTGTAGGTTAGTACCTTCCTTAGTAAATCAAGTTCGACATCGGTTGTATCCTTGGTTCAGATTTATCTACTCGTGCATAGAGAATGGGTAAGGTTCCTAGCTTGGTTCAGTGGCGCCCAACTTTAGAAACTCGTCTACCAGAGATTCCAGGTTGGCTTTCTATATATCAGTCTTTGTAGAGAACCATCTGGTCTCTTAAAAAAATACTTAAGGAGCGGGATTCCGTTTCCGACTCTGATTCTATTGTGAACTTAATTGATTGATGGCAACTATTGAACTTATCCAGGATGTTGAAATTTGCATTTTTGTGCCAAATAACGAAACTCTTACATAAATCGAAACTATCAATTATTAGTCTAGGTATTGTTAGCTAGGAGTGGGGTGGGTGCTGACTCTATCTCTACACCGTCAGTCAGTTTATGAATCTCGTATGATTTGGATTCGATGTTGAAAGTACGTTGAAGAATTTATTGATCGAGAAAGTGCATGAAACATCGACATATAAAAAATAGTAAGCAATATGCTTCCGTGGGAGATACATTCGTGAAAGCAGAGGTTATAATAATAATTTGAATATTCTGAAAATAATAATTACAGAATTCACGCCAGTTTACAGGCATGATCAATTTGATATAAATAGTAACATTAGATGTAGAGAACAAACATATGATAGAAGAATGTTTTAAGTATACTAGTTCAGTAATTGTTTAGGTAGTATATGTATTACAGCGATCCAATGCATCAGCCGGGAACTTTTAATTTTTCTTAAACGAATAGCATATTGGTTTATGAACTATTTAATTATGGTCATTTCCTGTGCCAGTTCAAATTGGTGGTAATTATCTACAACTAAAGAAATTAAAACAAAGAGAGCACGGAATAACAAAGCAGTAATTACCAAAATATGTCAATCAGGTCTGCCAAAATGCATGTGTCATGTGATAAAGTGATGTACTGTTGATGTTATATATTATTTAAATTTGTTAAGGTTGCTAGGGACAGTGTTAAAATAAAGTGACAGCAAGTAGGTGGTTTTACTTAGGGAATGGGGGAAGATCAAGAAAGGAAGAGCGGGAACACAATGGAATTAGTATGAAAACGCATGAACAATGAAATGTCGGACAATCGATTGATGTTTGCAACAGGAACAGTCCACGTTGATATAATTGATTGATATTATGGAAATTACCGATTTACTATATGGTTGTTAGATTTTACTAACTAGTTCTGTACTTTCTTATCAAATACATTCGATTGTTCCCCACCCGTGTTCTGTTCACTACAAATCGTCTCTGTACTGATTCCAGTCTTAATATATCTGTTATGCGCGCACTGCTAAGAATAAACGTGCAATATTCTAGAAGTGGTCGAACACAAATGATGTACATTAAAATACCTGACTTATTATTATGAAGGTGTAACCATAAATAAATCCCCAAAGTAAATAGCTCTGTAAGTCTTCGACATTGGATGCTGACCACATTAGTTTTAATGGACTCACTTAGCTGAAGGTGCTCGGTCATGCATCCACACCAGATCACGAGTGGGAAAGCCGTACTCAACAACCCCTGTAATCGCCAGCCAGACTAGATCAGACGATCCTCGATACTACTAAATATTAGATTAAGTATACTATCACCTCCAGTTTGGGTAGGAACCAACTGCGAGCAGCAGTGCTTGTCAATGGTTGCCGAGAACTCATCATTACATGACTGACAACTACCGGCACTCCAGTTAATACCAGGATAATTGAAATGCCAAGTGATAACCTTAGCATTAAAGTTTAAAGCTGATGTATATATGAATGCATCGATAATATGATGATTCCCATTATGCAAACTTTCAGGAGCTCTGTATTTACATCCAAGGATTAGAATATGATACAGGGTGTTGACTAATATCCAGACTGATTCTAGTAAACTATCCAGGACGCAGAACATTGAAGCATCTTCTGAGTTGATCTTTGATTGGCAGTGGAATTTTTAGCCAGCCATTTAGTTATCCCACAATACGGCAAATTATTCATACCATATATACGGCATAGAAGAATATCTTATGTAGTTGGGAGGTCATGACCTCCATTGTTCCACGTTTATATGCATATAAACGTGGAACAATGGATCCAGTATGCTTAATTTTTTCCATGAGGTTTTCACCAATAATTGAATAATCCTCGTTTGTATTTGAAATAATTTCTGCCCAGTTTGTTTTGTGATATCTTTCTGAGATTTTATCTAAGAAGCTTTTAGTATAAAAAAAGGAAACAAGGGTGATTTTGAAGTATAATTCTTATGATTCATGATAACGTTCGCAATACCTTTATTTGGACGACTTAGCACAATATATTTGTATCTCAATAGGTCAAGTAGTTGGAACGTATGTTCTTTAGAATGTCATCGTAACAGTAATAGTAGTAGATTGTATGCACTGGAGTGCGTGGAATTTTATTCCGAAATAAATTTCACATCCAATCATTCTCGACTTCCAGTTCTATTGGGTTTTGGATCCTCGAGTATAAAGAAATCTGTGTGCTTAACATCATTACCTTTGGTTGTTGGCTCAATCGTCTAGGGTTTAAGCGTTTGGGTCTGCTTTTGAAAGCGACGTACATGATCGTAGGTTTTATCCGCTGAGGGGTCCAACACTAAGACGAAAAAGTGTTCCCAGGTTTTTAGTCGTGACCCAGAGTAGATTGGTTCGCAATTTCAATAAGATTTCAGACCTTTTAATCGTCAACTTTTGGTTACCTATGAGCTCTTCAGACTAAAGGTCAAACTGATTTAGTGTTATTTTACACAGCCTTTAGCAATCAAATCACGAGTCTCAAGAATCAATGACACTAGCGTGATAAAAATAGGAGACCCTGGTAACGACAAGATCTGGCTGCAGAGTAAGATGGCCTCAACTCTATGTCGCTACAATTTTCAATTAATAATTTTCTACTATTTTGGATATTAATTAAAATTCTTCTGCTTCATTTTATACATATGGATTTTAAAGCTTATGTTATACACTATTAAAGTCTTCATATCTTATGTACCGTTATACTTATATTTGTATATTTTTTTTAAAAACGATACTATATTCCTTTTATTTATTAACTTTATTTCGTATACCCTCACAGACGGACACACAGTCGGACACACAACTCGCTAACTCACTCATCCGCCTCTCCGCTTTGTAGTCTGAGCTATCTGCTTATAAAACTGTAGTCGCTGCTTCTGTTTGACTTTTCATTCCAAACACAGTTGAGGTTTATATAATAACTGTTACGAGGGTGATTGGTTAACAAAGTACAGCCACTACACGTTTCCCGAAATATCGCTATCCTTCTAAATTTATCCTCGAACCACTTCATTTCTCACTCTTGCTTTGACTGGATTAACATACTTCGATTATAAAGGGGTTACATATAAAGGCATTAGCAATTTCTGAATATCTGTAGCATCTTTAATGATGAGACCGACGTGATCTGATACACCAAACAGTGATGCATATTTTATATCTTCAAATATTTTTTATCGTCTACTTGTTTACTTTATATTCATCATGGCGGAACAAATTGTTAAGTTATATAAGATTATACTTCTTGCTCTTTACCGCGGAATTTCAACAGTTTCGCCACACGTAGTGTTTCTGATTTCGGGGTTTTACAGAACATATCGATATTTTGAAGAACGGTATGTTTAAACTTGAAAATCTGACCGGCTGAGGAAGGTTATATCAACTCTTCCACGACATCAAGCCGCACCACAGTTCAGTAACAGGAATGTTGCTACGAGTGCGAGTGGTCATTGTTCAACAGACCGTTGACATAATCCTGTTTAGAAAGCTCTTCCTTTCATTCCGAAATAACGTTGTAGACAAACGGGCTGCGTCTTCTGACCGGATTTTGGAGATCACGAGAACTTCCAGCGCCGAGGTCTATTCAGTGAAGTAATAGCCTCAAAAACACGAAATAGCGTCACAGACCTTGCCATATGACAGAGATTCGCCTTTATTCCCCCTTTGTTGGTTGATTGGGATACTCTGACGCGTTACCTTGACATTCGTCATGACCATAGGCATAGACACTTCCAGGAGTTATTCAGGGAAACGAATCGTCAGACTTGCTTTTATGTACGGCATAATAATCCGATTTTCGTAGGAGTTAATAAATGAAAATGCCTGCTGTGAACGACCACTGGAGATTTATCAAATAACTAGTGTAACAATTAGATGGAAATCAGGTTGCTTTCTATGGGTCTATTTAACAGTCGTTAGCACTTCAGGAGTTCATTAGGTGCAAATTATTTGTAGGGTTTTTAAATTCGGTTTAAATCGAGTTCTCAGTGACAATCTTAAGGAAAACATGAAAGCCTCAGATGTGTGGTAGAAAAATCAATTTTTGTCTTGTATTCTCCAAGTTGTTCGCTGAATTGATCGTTTTTACAATTTTGAGAGTTTGAGGTATTAATTACAGTATTACAGATGTTGTGTGCGTAAGTTAGGCTAATCATCCTTGGTGTTACTGGTCCCCCCAAAGCAGGAAATTTGGTTCTTGGTCTATTAATTATCCCTAATCCTTGGTTAGTTTTAGTTTCATGACTTTCATGTTAACGGATTGGCTTGCATACTATCAAAACCTGCGTTATTATGATGTTTGTGGACGTGAAGTATTTGTATCTTAGTTAGAATGTGACATACATGCCAATGTTTACTCTAATTATACATTTATCGACTAATTTTTTTGTATTTACAGTAAACACTTATTATCCTGTTGTAAGAACGCATAATTTGAAGCATGAAAGATCTAACTGGTTATGTATGTCTTGTCACGGGAGCTACTCGTGGTGTTGGTAAAGGCATAGCAGTATCATTGGGAAAGTCTGGAGCCACAGTGTATTTAACTGGACGAACATCAATGCCGCTTAATGGCGGGGTTGGCGGTAGTCTCCAGGAAACGTCAGATATCATCAATAACTTTGGTGGTGTAGGTATCATTAACTCTTTACCTGTGTTTTTCTCATTGCACAAAAAGTGATACCATCATCTTCTGCACTAAGTTGTTTTACTAATTGCTGTAATTATGGTTTTCGGGATTTACGTTCTACGTTGACATACTTTAGGCATTTGAGATAACTATACTACCCAAATCCACATGAAAAAGTCGGAGTTTTTCTTCAGTCTGTAGACTGATTTTACCACTTTGCGAGATGTTATGTCCTCACCTCTGAAGTCCTAGGTTGTTCTGAATGTTGCTGATCAAGCAAATAGAATTTTGTATCCTAGGTTATGGAATGCATCAATCGTGTGAAGTGATGACACTGCACATCTTAGTAGAATAATTCAGGTACGATTCTAGTTACAAGTCAAGCTTTTAACAGGGCTAGCTTATAAAAGTCTGAATGTCGGACGTTTCTCTTTTTTAGAGAACGTGGGACTCAACGAAACCAACTGTAGAAACCATATTATCAACCTAAGGAATTTTGCTACTAAGTAGAAGGAAATGAGCTGTATAGACTCACTTGTTTGTTGCTTATGCTTTACATCCATGTCTTCATATCGCATGTATTCTTCTAAACTTATGACGTCATTTGTTGTTGCTATGACTCGACACTCGATCCTAGCTGGAATCGGAATAAAGCTAGAGGTGGCGAAACCAAAATGTAGAATAGGTCTATTAAGTTATTTACTGTTGATCTAAGCCGTATTCGTAGGTGCGGACTACGGGGTTAGGTTCTGTGATAATCCTGATCACTCCTTGGATAACCTGCATGATATTGCTCAGAATCACAGAGATGGAGATAAGTTCACTTTCGTTTTTTCTCAGATCTCAATTTTCGACACTATTTTGCGCTTTCCGTTACTCGAATTCATCTTTTTTCAAACCATTTTGTTTAGTTTTAGTCGTAATATTATTGATTGCAATATCTCAACTATCATAATGCTCATTTTATTAGTTTCACCTCGTTATGATGGGCTCATGTAACAACTTGAGCAGTTGGTTATTTATCCTAACTGTTATGTTGGTTATGACTAACTGACTTTGTCGCTAATCCAGTCACCCCTATTAATACTGGAATGCAACCAAATGGTGTGAATTAGTTTCGTTAGCCATCGAAATCAAATCCTGCTCATGCACAACTATTGACTTTAAATTAAGACAATACCTAGTTTAGGTAGATCAGTTATTGTTTTAATCTTTTTTCAATGATAATGAAAACTAATGATAATGAAAAGCTAATTATTTTTTCTCTACTGCACATTTATGTCTTAGGGTGGTTATTGAAGTAGTACCATTTCAAGATATTCTTTTTCAATGGTGTTAAACAATCGTTATTATTTTCAGAAAGCTATTCCTGTTGTGGTTGATCATTCTAATGAAAAAGAAATAGAAAATCTATTTCATCAGATTGGTCGTGAACAAAAAGGTCGCTTAGACATCGTAGTCAACAATGCATATAGTGCTGTAACATTTTTACAGAAAAATATGGGGAAACCGTATTATGAAATTACAGACGTATCTCCAGGTGAAGCTTGGGATGTTGTTAATGATACTGGTCTAAAGAATCACTATATTTGTTCTGTTTTGGCTACGCGAATGATGATTGAATACCAAAAAAAAATAAATCCAAGTTCAGCCCGACCTGGTTTGATTTTAAATATCACTTCCGTCGGTGGAAAAATCTATCTTTTTAGCGTGACTTATGGAAGTGGTAAGTTACCGTATTTCTTTTGGAAGTTACGTGACACCTATCTGCTCTTATCATTATAATTCTATTTTATATTTTTAATCATATATATATATATATATATATATATATATATATATATATATATATATATATGAGCCTTAATATGTGTATGTTGAGACCTACTGCTGCTGCTACACCGGTCGTCTCCTGCATTTGTTGTTGCGTGTGTGATGGAAAAGCCAGTTATTCTGCGAAGTCTAGGTCATCCAGCTGCATCCTAGTTGTTCACTGTATCCCATGCTTCCTCTCAGATGTTGACGTCTTCATTATCCAATCGACCGCCACGAGGAAAAGGAAAGGTGAGAGTAAGCAACTTTGCCTGACATCGGTCTTTATCTTGAACGAGTCTGCCAACTGTCATCCATGAACGACTTAGCAGTTTAATCCATCATAGAAATTCCGTATGATATTGACTATCTTTTCAGGCACGCCGTGGTGTTGAAGTTTCCATAGTGTTGTTCTGTCCACGTGTTATAATTCTCTCTTACAGTTATAACCCAGTTATTCCTATTGCTTAGTATTCTTGGACACCAATTCACTTGACAGGTCCCCAAATCAGAACACGGTTGAACAGGAAAGAGATTATATTGCAAATAACAAGGTTAGATGGAAGTAAGAAGCACAATAGGGAAAACGTTAGTATATTTATAGTTTTTACATGAGAAGATTTCTGGAGTATTCTCCAAGTATCGACTAGGGCTGAATGGACAGAAATTAGCCAATCAGCGTGCGTCAACGCAAGCGTGCATTGAGCATGATTTAAACCAATCTATGTCACGCTAACACCACGCTATCAAATGCTCTCTCATAGTCAATAAAGTTGATGTCGAGTGATGAATTCCATTCAATTGATTGTTCCACAATCATCCGTATAGTTGCGATTTGGTCTGTGCACGATCGATCCCTACGGAATCCAGCCTGTTGGTCGCGAAGTTGGGCGTCTACGCAGTCCTTCATTCTGCTTAACAACACCCTATTGAAGACTTTTCCTGGTATTTAAAGAAGAGTGATGCTTATGTAGTTATCGCACTTGCTAAGATCGCTTTTCTTTGGTATCTTAATCAGGTGTCCTTTCCAGTCTGTTGGTACTTGTTCTTCATCCCAAATCTTGCTGAAGAAAACGTTCAGTACCTTTGCAGTTACTGCTACATCTGCTTCCAGTTCCTCTTCTGGACTGTTGTCTGATCCTGCTGCTTTGCTCTGGTTGTCAGAAGGGGCATCAACCTCGTGACTTCCTAAGGAACTCGGCTTTCACTATGAGGCGTCATAACTTTTCTAAATGAAGGCCTTCTGACTCGCAGGGCAGAGTTTAAATGGTTTGAATAGTTTCTTTCTGGTTAGTGTTTTTCTACGGGATGGGTCGCTAACCCCATGCCCAACCCCCTTCCTTTATTCGCGCTCGGGACCGGCAGTAGCCCCAGAGGGGTTCCAGGCGAAGTTCAGTGTTCATAAGCCGAACTTAAATTTGTACAACCGTTCTCTCTACCTTGTACATCAATATAAGAATGAATTTTGATTAACTTCCATTCTTTCGAAAACTATTCAATCGCTTTTCTGATATCTTTGACTTTTTTATTTTTGCATATTCTTGATTGTCACACAAACACTGAAATTGACTTTCTCGAAATAAGTTGTTAATTCCATTTTGGAATATTATGTAATCTGGCAACTGTTTAGTTAAATTCTTTCAGTTTTTACAATTACTTTAATAATTGTAATCCTCCTTCCAATTACACAATCATTTGTTATTATATTACAATCACCCCGAAATTATATAATTATTATGTTGCACTACTACCAGAATAGTATTATTTTAATGTTGTAAACATATAAATATATACATGTATATATTAGCATACAGGTATGATGAAAAACTAATTGAAAAGAAATATCTTCGCTTTACTGATCTATTTTTGATTATGAAACAGGCTTGTACCGTCAAACCTCATAATCTATGAGGTTGGTAACAGTCCATATACGTTTTCACAATGTTTCTGGGATGTTGTATTCACGAAACATACAGGATTATATATATATATATATATATATATATATATATATATATATATATATATATATATATATATATATATATATATATATGATTTTGATGCGCGTTGGAAACTGAATTGTATTAGAAACCATCATTAGCTTTTCCTATTATCATCGATACTACATTATTTCAGTTGCGTTATGGTTCATCTTATTAATTTCGCATCTTACTGTAATGATATGACGACTTGGGTCAACGCATATTTGGGTAAAGTCTATGCTTGTGACTGATTGATAGACTAAATATGCATCACACGATGCACTAAATCTCCGTTGTGTTTAATCAAACTTGACTGTAATAAGTAAATAGTACTATTGTTCAAACATGTTATGAACAGTTCCATATATAATAAATAATCAAGATCCATCGTAGGAAAGCAAATATGCGGAATTGATAGGTTTCGATATAATGAAGCGTAATATAAAAATTAACTTCGAAGTTGGATTATGAACAAAAGGATTATTGAAGCGCAGTAGAACAGTTAATAAGCTGCAATTCATCTAAAATCACTAAGAATAGTCATGTTGGTATGAAATCCCCTCAGAATAGTTCTTTAAAGTTCTGTTTAGCCGAAGTAGTTAAGCAGGTTGGCTGTTTGTATATTTTACTACTGACTTTTGTCCAACATTTTCCCTTGAAAGTTTATATCAAAACATAATTTCAGGTAAAGCAGCACTAGATCGCATAACTCATGATATGGCGTTCGAATTAAGAAGGGAAAATGTTAATATTTCGGTTGTCGGAATTTCTCCTGGATTAGTTCGTACAGAGCATATTCTTGACGCTGCTTCTAAAGGTTCGCTCACAATGAATATAGAAAACAGTACGTTGATGTATTTATTGTTTTAATAATGGTTTGAATTTACTTTTATATTCAGTAAATACTTCCTGACCACCGTAGTGTTTGGTATAACGTACATATTTGATTTCGTTTTGCCTCAAACTAAGTGGTTTTAGCTGTTCAAATGTTCTTAAATCCATATACCTATTTTTTAAAAGCTTAAAGTGTTTTCCGTAGATTTCTTAATCAAGTAATAGCTTTTTTGTTTTGATAGTGGATATTTCTAGTAAATCAACCTGTATCCAGACCAGAACAGAAGTTAACATAGACAATGAACATTTGAAACTTGGTTGTCTTTTTATTACTTACTGGGTAAATGAATTTGTTGGTCACTGGCTACCATAGAACCGCATCTCCCGACGTTGCTCCGTTACCTTGTGGATCAGACCTTTAGATCGAAGGCTCCGGGTGTGGCTATCTAAGAAAACCACCTGCTTCGGTTCGGGCACCCAGGCAGTATCCCAGCCCACACACAAACGAGTGATTTGTGTGGCGGATATGTATTTAGTGCCTCTTTGTACCAATATTTATGTGTTCAAATAAATAAAATAAACTGACTAATACTAATGTACATGTGCTATTCTGTTGGTGTGCATTGTCACTTAAGCCTTCTTAACTGATATACTTATTAAAAAAAATCGACTTTACTCATTCGCTGTACATCATGTCAACCTTTTCGCACAAACAGTCCACTGCAATGCATCCAATTAACCCAAGATTGTAGAGCATTGTGTTTGACCTAAAATGTTAGCAGGTATTCGGTCAGAAAACAGTCTTGTGACTCTGTGCTTGTCAAGTTCCATCATCAATACTTTTCTGAGATATCGGAAAAACTAATGGTTAAAAAATGTTAGTCAATCACCGATTAACTTTCAGTTATCTACTTGAGTTTGTTTAGAATTCAGCTTCTTCATGTTACTCGGTCATCAGTGCTAACTGCGTTAACACTTACAACTAATGGAATGACATAGTCAACAGTAGTCTTGATCGAACAAGTAACATAGGTTCTTGAACCTTCAAATTAACAAGTTTAATGCTTTATAGACATTTTAGTTCACAATATCGTCTGATAAAGTCTTCACATGTTAGAATAAAATATTTTGGACTCATCTGTGAAAGTATAGTTTTATATCACATATTTTGGAAATCTCAATGTAATTACCATTTAATTTGTTAAGAATAATCATGTCAAACCTTGAAGCTGGCATTTACATAACTTCATTTTCTTCCCGTCTTTAATTATTTTTCAGGTCAATCTCCTGAGTTAGTTGGTCACGTAGTAGTAGGTATGGCTACTGAATCGCCTAGGAAACTACTTTCTCGGTCAGGTCATATATTCCTTGTTAGTGATTTAGCTGAGGAATACGGTATATACGAAGATTGTGGTCGAGAAATCATAAATGTAAGGTCTTTGAAATATCTTCTTTCATATAAAGGCTACTATATTGCTAAGTTTATACCCAGTTTTATTCGAATACCAGAATGGTTGTTCTATATAATGTTAAAATATAGATGAGAACTTTTTAATACAGATTTCCGGCCTTCTTTTAGATGGTCTGATAAAGAAACATTCATTGATACGTACTTTTTTGAATAAGTTACTTTTCAGAATAATCTTTGTTTGATAATTTTCAAGATGCTATGTACCTGATTCTTCTAAATAATGATTTTTTCCATAATTTCACGTCTTTTACTTAATTACTTTGTTGGGTTTACACTATAAAGTACCGTCATTCAGCTGAAACAAATTTTTATTTATTAAGAACCCACTGATATTTGTCTAGGTCATCTTTCTCACTCGTAATACTGGTACTATCTGAACTATTCCTGATTAGTTTGTTTACGAATTTTACAATGATTGTTTTTTTAAATAAGAAAGCAGTAAAACTTTAAGTAACGGGATGATAATTATTAATATGAGGGATTGTAGAATTTTCACAGTTTAAATCACGAACCGATCATATCTAGACCATCACTGAGAGCACTGAACGATTGTTTCGTCCTGGTATGGGATTCTTCAGTACACGATATTACTTAAAGTTAGAATCCAACACCTCCGGATCCAGGCTTAGTGGTTTAGAAGTTAAACATTCACGCGCGGGATCGAAGTTTCTGAGTTGAATTCCAAAATCAGGGGTTATGGGTGCACACTGATGAGGGGTTTCATTCTAGGATGATAATTGCCGGTAATTTACGATAGAATCGTGTGAACTTGATTTTTTTTTTGGCTGGCGCTAGTGCTGTGACTCAGGAATATGTCTTGAAATGGTTTTATCCCGCTGTTCTAATTTGGTATTTCAACTTATCGACACAGGTGTATATGAAATCCTACATTGCATATGACTGATCAATGCTGACGTCAATAAATTCATAGATATCAACCAAAGATCTAAAAAGTATGTGATCCCTTGTTTTTATCCCACAGGGAAAAATTTTACGTCGTCATTCAATTGTATCGAGTTGGAGAATTGAATATCCCGTGGAAATAACTGTCCTGATTCCTTCTTTAATCAAAGTTTTCAGAATCCTTATAACTATGTACTTAATTCACATGTAATATATTAGAGTATCCTTAACATCTGTATAGCTTTTCAATATGACGCCGCCATAATCCTTTAACTGTGAACTCATGCTTTAATATTGGTAGTCAGTTTCAAATTCCGAGTCTTGATTTGACTGATGTTCCCAAATTCCAATCACAGTAACTGATGTTGCTCGTGAACCAGGTTTATGATCTTTGGGGTCATAATATGTAAATCAACTGCTTTCTTCTGATCTCATTTTGATTTGAGTTATCGGTTAGCAGATTCTGTGAAAAATTATATGAGTTTTTCATTCATCAACGTAGTTGATGAATACTTCTTTGGCAGTAACTTGAGGTAAACCTATTCTGTTCGTTAGTCAGACAAGTCGCACATGAATTTCTCAGTCCAAAGATTTCATGTGGCACAGTTAAATTCTTATTGTTAATGATATTCTGTTGGCCATATCCAGTATCTAATTTGTAATTGGTCCATATAAACCTCTGGATTTAGTGAAAGCTTTGTGAAGTTGAAGTTGTGACAACCCGAAAATCGCGTACTCAACAGGGAGACAGATACATATTAACACTTAGAGAGAAGTGCGATATGGTTTCAAATCCAAGACTTGTCACCAAGTGCTTTATATCATAAATGTTTCACTAAAGTTGTTTTTTATCTCTACTATTGTGTTTGTTTCTCTATAGATAGTCAGTCAGCTACAATATAGGGCCAGGCACATTTATGCACTGGTCCAAGTCTACACACCTCATTTGTACAACAAGATGGACACTGAGTTCATAGAACTAGTAGTAATATATAAAAGAAAGATTGTGTATAAGGACATAGTACAGAAACAAAGAATTATTTGGTAGAAAGATATAAAGCAATTATAATCTCACAGTTTAAGAGAAGAAGAAGAAGCGTGTATACACCTAGACCATTGTGATCGATTCTGAGCCGTGTCACCTAGAGTCTCCAACCATTGGCTACGATAGTCGCGCGGACCTCAACCAATTTGTCTTCATCTACCAACATGGCTCAGATAAAAAGCTAGTGACTTTATGGACTGATGCAACATTTTGGTTTGCCTGCTCCTAACTTTCTTCCAACCATCGCGTGTCATGGTTCAGGCATACGTAACAATGACCCAACCATCTCAGTCGATGAAGATTCACAACCTCATCAACTGATTTACTATCATTCCCCAATACCCTGCGTCTCACCACACTATTACTTACCCGGTGATCCCAGCAGTTACGATCAGTATTTCAAAGACATCTGTGGTCAAAAACTAGTAGCTTACGAATATATACTCTTAATGGCCATGTTTCGCAGTCGTAAAGTAAAACAGATAACTGCCACACAGTATACTCGTCCTTTTATTGAGAGACGGATGTCTCACCTTCTCCATAGGTGACATAAGTTGACGAAAGCCAAACGAGTTTTTCGAATCCGCGCTGAGATTTCGTCAGACACCAACCCATTAGAGCTGATCAGACTTACAAGATAAATGGAGTTGTCGAGGCGTTCGACTACTTTACTCTCTATCCTTAGTTTAGATGTTGATGTAGACCAGTCCTGAAGCAACACATCCTGGTATTGTTGCTCAGTGCTACCAAAAGACTCCATTTTATCAGCGTATTCACTAAACAGAACAATGTGATATGCGTATTCTAAGTCGATATATAGACTTCCTGGCAGATCGATCCCCGAAAATCCATGCGACAAGAACGTTATTTCCTACAGTAGTTCTATGATGAAATTGAACAAAAATGGGGATAGTGGACAGCCTTGTCGGATACCACTTGCGGTTGAGAAATCAGATTACGGCTCGCCATAAGCTCTGACTCGACTGGTAATGTTCGAGTGAAGAGCCTTCACAAGGTTTATGTAGTTCTGAGGTACGCCTTTCAATGACAGACATTACCACAGAACCTCTTGGTTTACAGAGTCAAATGCTACTTCTAGGTCAAGAGAAACTATCATTGCCGAACTACGCTAAGCATGTCTGTGTTCTAAGACCTGATGAATGGTGAATATATGGTCGATTCGGCAACGACCAGGTCTGAAACCAACCTGATTTTCCCGTGTTTGCAGTTCACAAGTCTTTGTTAGGCGCCCAATGATTATTGAGGCTAGTACTATAAATGCTGTGTTAGTGAAGCTAATACCTATATAGTTATCACAGGATGGTTTTAACTCATTTTTATATATTGGGACAATCAGTCATTGCGACCAGTCAGATGAAATTACGTCCAACTCCCAGATCTTACTGAAATATTGGTCAACCTTGTCGCTAAAACTGGACCACCATCCTTAAAGTCCTTTGGAGCCAATCCATCTGGACCAGCTGCTCTTCCTCGTTTTAGATTTGCTATATCTTTTCGATCTTCAATCAGATTCAGACGGGCTACCTTCATGTTCCATTCAAGCTGTCTGGGAATGGTGAGTATTTGTAGAATAGCTGAAGGTCAGCTGAACTGCTCCTTAAAATGTTCCGCCCGTCGTTCTAAACGTCTGGGCTATGAGCAAATAAGATTGTCATCATTCTCGGAGTTTGTTTCACTTGATTTCTTAATTCCAGTTTATTTTATTAGTCTGAAGAGCTGTTTTGTGTTACCTACAGCCACTGCCTTTTCCATCTCTTCCTTTCGTTGTTCACCACTGCTCACGGTCGTTCCTTAGACTTTTGGTTAACCTAAATCTGATTTGTTTTCGTTCTTCATAGTGTTCAGGGTCTGATGGGATGAGTTCACGCGAACCCATCGGTGCAACAGACTTAGTAGAAATCTATTGGTTTTCCGTAACTCTTTGGTTTAAATCACTAATATATGTCACAGCTGTTCGTGTATCTCTCCAAGCGACATCTGCGTCAGCCTCGTTTTCAGAACTACCTAAGTGTGACGTCAGTTGTTCCTAGAGTCTGCTTTTGGCTTTCCCGTCACTGAGTTAACCTTAATGCGTCTTCTTGGTGTGGTTTCTATGCGTCCAGTGGGGCGCAAGCAAATGCATGCTCGTATTAGGGCATGATCCGGGTCCAAACTGCTATTCTAGAACGACCGACAGTCTTCTATCGATCCTCCCCAACTATGACTGTTGGCAATTTGGTCTATTTGAGTCCATCGTTGGTTTGTTGCATGGAGTCGCCATGTTAGACGATGTCTTTCCTTATACTTAAAATAGTGTTTGCTAAAAATAAACGATTGTCTGAGCGTACTTGCAGCAGACGATCACCATTATCTGTTCTCTGAGCCGGAATACTAAAATACCCACCTAAATGTCTTTCTGTTTTGTTTAAGCTACCTGGGCATTAAATTACCTGCTAAAAGTACTATATCTCATCCTCTATAGTTAACCTAGTACTCATTTTTTATCACACTGACAAACCTTTACCCTAACATTTCTAATGGGTTCATTCAGAATTCAGGTTAGTCTGTAAATTGAGGAAGTTTGTCTTGCACCGAACAGCGTTTTGCTATACTAAGTATTCTATAATGCTGCTTATGAGTATTCGCCTATATTGTATTTCGATATTGGTCGTAAGTGGGAAGTGAATAAGATGCGATAACGCACATAATCAAGGTCAAAAAACGATGGGGTACTTTAAAAATGGAAGACGTTTCCTGACCTGCAAAAATAATGGGATTCATTTTATTTCTAGCATAACAAATTGTAAATGATTAACTGGCTAGGTCGATGAACCCAATTCAGTATCACCATACACAATAGTATCATCCTAAAATATGTCACAAAGTTGTATGATGATCGCTCTTTTATCAAACAAGCGTTATTGTGAAGTGTTCAGTTACTTCTACTGAATGAAGTGTAGGAAATTACTCAGTTCATAAATAATACCAGAAACGAAGGAAAATTTCCCTAAAATATCGGCTATTAAATAATAGTGGATGACTTTAGCTGACCACTCCGTAACCATTCGATAATGAAAACCGTTGGCAATATTTGGTCAAGACACAAGTATGAAATCAGGACAGCTTGGTGGTTGAGTCTACAAATTGAAATAACAAGGTCCCGAATAAGCTATCTTGTATTATTATAAAAGTAGTAACTCCAAAGGTATAGTGACTTTTGCCGACTTATACGAAACTTCATGCTTATTATAGTACTACCGAAGGTAGTTGTCGGGCGAAATGCTAAGCAATCTGAGGAGCGGAAGCTAATTTAGCAAAATTCTTGAATCAAAAAGCCATCGTCCGTAACGAAAACGTCATAAGAAATACAGTGGTTTTACATAGTTATGGAGAGTAATTTAATCTTAATACAAAAGCTAACTGAAGAGGTGATCAGTAAGTCCACCACCGTAGATAGAAACAACGATGACCCCAGTTAAGGCTAGTGAAACACTATAGTAAAGATAATATAAAGTACAGCCACAATCCACTTACCATTAGAAACCCAACCTAGTCAAGAATCTAACACCTACCTTCTTGTGATAGAGCGGCTGCGTTTCCATAGCTATCGAGGTTTAATATATACTAATTCGATGCATATTGAATAAGCGCTTGTTTCGATAAGCCCATGAATTTAATTAGCAAGAGGATTGAGAAGTACGGTACACTGGCTAAATCATCTTTCATTCAATTACCTGTGTAACATCATCCTAACTAGTTCATTTTCAGTATTTTCATGGCATTCTAAGTTATGGAAAATGAAAGTGTGTTTCAAAGTCCTTGCGTTATAACAATATGATAAGGACAAATCAGCAATTAGTGGACGAGAGACTACAGTATCTCTGAGATCTCCATCCTTTGGTTTGGACAGTCTGTGTTGTGAAACCGCGTTCACTAACGTCAATAGGATGCTGGGATGAACTGCATATTACTATCCCCTCACTCCCAATAAATGCTTTCATTTGATTTGAAGTTGACTATACTAATACTACTAAACATAATAAACTCTCTTTACCAATCTACTGGATAAAATTTTACACTGCGAAGTAGACTCATGACATAATTTAGGTTTTAGCAAATATATAGGGTATTTGATTGTCAAAACAAAGTGTATTCTGAAATGCACGTACTAAAAATAATCACGGTAAAGAAATTCCAGTCAGAAATAACGTTATGTGTGGATTCTGTGTATGTACATTCTAATTTCATCAGTGAAAATCCAGAGAAAAGTAGCATTTGTGTTATTCCAACTACGTAACGTATCACATAAAATATTGTTTAACAAATTGAATTTTACCTCTCAATTTTTATCCGTGGTGAATAGAATAATAAAGCCCACTGAATTCGCTGTTCTACATAGTGATGCATTTCGGGAGAAAATCTGTTAGAACATTCATATCTCACATCTTACAGTGAATCAATTTGACTGTTATTTGAGGTTTTGCATTCTTATTATATATGCATAAAATTGTGACGGCCAAGAAGGTTTTGGTTCAGGTGATAATGATAGAACGACAATTGGTATTTCTGAAGATCCATTAGCTACTTATTGCTTTTACTCAATAAACTTTGACATTTAGCCATAAATGCCTCATCGGAAGATTCAGCTACTGGAGTGGTATTGGTTTCAATAAAGTTCGGAGAATATTTTGGTCAATGTTGAGGAATGTCAGACTGAGGAAAAAATTATAAAACCTTTCCCAAAACAGCTCATTGCAACTTGGTCGATAGCATTAAAACTGTACTAAGGGCAACAAACCGCCCTAGTCTTGTGAAATTAACACATGTTAATTTTTCAGAAAAGTACATGATAGAGATTTAGGACTGGGGCGCAGTGATAAGTTGTAAAATTGTATACTATATCCCATACTTCACCAGGGGATTCCATTTTCATTCATTCAGAATTCTCACTCAGAAACTATTCCAAAATACCCAAAGAGCAATTTCATCTCCAGTTTCATTAATCGTGAATTTAAACGTATAGGGAAGTTTTACTAATTAAACAACTTTTTCTACGTATCATTCTTAATTATCGAAGTCCACTGTTTTCAACTTATCAAGTCTATGGAGAACTGTAATATGGTGTGTAATACGTGATCCCTCAAATTCAAAATCGTCTAGTTTCCTAGATTCATGTTATATGAATTTATTACTGAAATGAAAGAATCATCGATAAATTAACTTGTTATTCAGTGTGGGGGAAGTTTATATAGATTCCCTCGTAAATTATCTGTGTTCTTACTGTATCGGATTTTTACATGAATATAATGAAATCATCATAAAAATCTTTAATTTTGTTGTATCTTCTAGACAACTCTATCTAGTTTCTGACTTATTTATTTCAGTTAATAGTTTACTGAATGGTTCTCTAATTCAAAAACACCACAAGTATTATATATCTCTTATCATCGTGACCGATCTATTACAATATTGTTGTTTAATGTGCACAATATAAAATTGTTAACGAAACATCTATTGAAGTTTTTATAATATCTGATGGAACTTTGCACCAAGTGATAGAAGATAATGTTTGGAAAATTTGACCAAGTTGAACCATTTTGGTTTGGGGAATCGTTCACTTGAAACTGAAAACCACATTATGCTTCCAATCAAACGTTATAAAATTCAACTAACCAATCATTCCAGTCAATATGAACTAACCAATCAAATTCCAACTGACAAAGGAAGATTATTATATATTTTTATACCTTGGTTATGTGATTAATTTGTGCAAATATGAGTGGGGAACTTCATGGTTGTGTTTGCTTAGTAACGGGAGCCACGCGGGGTATTGGGAAAGGTATCGCGGTGGAGTTGGGTCAAGCAGGAGCCATTGTGTACATTACTGGACGTACATTAAAATCTGACAGGAAAAATGTTGAGGGTTCTTTAGAGGAAACAGCAGAAACTATAAATAATTCTAATTGGGGAGGCGTAAGTCCTCAATTTAAATAAAATGTCTGGACACGTAATTTGGTGTTTTCACTTGATTAAGTATACAATACTTTTTCATGTTGTTTATGAAGTACTTTTTAAAAACGTATGATACGTACCCTAAAAGCAAAAGCATCTGTGAAATTTAGTGGCGAATGAAATATGAACATACTGGTAGAGTAAGGCTAACACTAAGTATAAATCTAGAAATTTGAGAACAATGATGCTCATCATACGAAAAGTATTATCTGACGTTGTTTTCTACAATAAAAAAAATTACTGAGCAATAACAATCTATTATTATTATTATTATTATTTGTTTTATTTTCTTTGTTGTTTGAACTAACGAAATATACGTTTTTTTTTAAAACATATCAAATCCTCACTGTCTCCGAGATCACGACACCTACAAATAAACCATTCAAGTGTAATAGTGATCTAAGCATTTCTGCCTAATAAAACAGTTTTTTGCGTAAATATTGAATTATAATTATGTTGACATCACAATTGTCTGATCACTTTTGCCGATGAACTTAAATTAAACTTAGGTGATCACAAATGTTTGGCTTAAGTATATCTAAATCTACGTATTACTATTACCTGAAAATTTCAATTTCATACTGACTATACACGTCGTTTACATATTTGTAGAAGTGTATACCAGTAGCTGTTGATCATACAGACGATGATCAAATCTCCAAATTATTTGATCGGATTGAACGTGAACAACATGGACGTTTTGATATTCTAGTCAACAATGCTTTCAGTGCTGTTGGTTTTCTGTTGAACAATCTAGACAAGCCTTATTACGAGATTGAGAGTAAATCGCCAGGTGAAGCATGGGATATAGTAAACAATGTTGGTTTAAGGAATAATTATATTTGCTCCGTTTTTGCCACAAAATTGATGATAAACTATCAGGAGAAGTTGAAAAGGGATGGTGCTAAAGATGCTCATCTCAGGCCGGGACTAATAGTAAATGTTTCGTCAATTGGTGCAAGGGTTTACTTTTTCAATGCAATTTATGGAACAGGTAAGGCAAATGATTTACTCGGTTTTTAAATAATCTTAATTTAACAATCAATACGAATTAAAAATGTTTGCAAACTTTTTTCTGTGTAACAAAGTGAATATTAAAAAAATTAGATTTACAACTAATGGCCTCGATTAAATGACCTGTATGGTGTATCTGGTACATAGGTTTTCGCTGAACACTAATCTTGGATTGTATTTCCTTATTCTCACATGTAGAGGGATAACCACAATTCATACTACTGTTTGACCAGGTGTCCTAGTGCTCATCACTCTCAATGATACCACAAGTAAAATCTATAGAATCCTTTTAATATAAGAATTTCGTACTTCGCCGAGCAATAGTTCACACCAATTAATTTCCCTTATAGAAAATAGTATTTGGGGTTGTAAAATGTGCTCAAACTTAATTTGATTCTAAAGTAGTGATATCATTTGTTGTAATTTTATATGATCTAACATCAATTTAAAAATTATCCCTCTCCAAATTATCTCTCCGCAAATTTAATTTCTAAATTTATGCAACTCAAAGTGAATGATTTATTTTGTTTTACTGTACGTTTGAATTATATTCATGCTTCTATGATTGAAATGGATGAAAATTACTCAACTTACAACTAACATTCTGACTGTTTTCGGATGATAAATTCCATTTGAGAAATGAAACGTTCATTTAGATACGAGCAAGCAATTTATGATAAAATATGGCTCGGAACTAATTTTTTGTTTAATGGTTGACAAAAGAGAATGAAACTCACATTACCCAGGCCGTCAGTTACAACTTCGCAAATTAGGCTAGTGATCCAACTACCATGCTAAGTTTTTTCAATTATGCTCCAGATAAATATAATATATATTTGGATAAGAAAATTTATTATTTTGCCTAGAATAGTATCAGTGTAACTACATAAGTTAATCGAAACTCACCACTGTGTTCCTCTTTCTCAATGTCATCAATAAGTTGTTTACTGACTGGTTTATAAAGCAATGTTTTCCTCACGATCAATAGGCACTGAGTATATTGGTTTTGGTAAATCATTGAAGTTATCGTTTTAATCTGGATATAAATAGGTCTTAAGAAATAATTCATAAGAAAAAAGATGTGTCACACTAAATCAAAACCCTATAGATAATGGTCTGTACGATTTTATGGTAATTTCAAATCATAGTTTATTAATGGTAGACGATAGACATAATTGGACACTTATCCAAATAATTGGCACCATCTTTCATACCATATCTGAGACAACTTTTCTACTTGTTTGGAGAAGGACTCAAATATATTCTCTTAATATCATGGTCAATAGGAGTTTATATTATATTCTTATTTTACTTTTAATATAATAGGTAAAGCTGCATTGGACCGAATGACGTGTGACATGGCTTACGATTTAAAGCGGACTAATACTAATATATGCATCTTCAGTTTATGGCCAGGTCCAGTCCGTACGGAAACTGTAGTTGCAGAAGCTATTGACGGAACCCTGAAACTTGGCGAAAAGATCACTTTTAATTATGATACCGGTATGTCGATAGGGAATTAATTAGTCCTGTAATTGTTTATTTCCTGTATGTATACACTAATTCAATCATGGATTTGTCTATCTACTGTTCTTCAGCGTAATTAACAACCAAGTTTGAATTTCAGAGCACTTTATCACCAATGTTACGATCTTTCAAAGCTGTAGTTTTGTAAATTAAGTTAACGTGTTAAACTATTATGTAGTGTTTCGGTTTTAATTATAGGCTGGTCAGATAATCCACTCAATGGTATGTGTGAAATCCAGTGTTTTTATGCAATAAAGCCATTCGTTTCACTGAATAAAAAATATGTACTCATTGGGTGTTTGCGTAGAAAATAATGTAGTTGGGATCTGTGGAGGCAAATATGTTGGATCGTATCAGATACTGTCAATAATATTGGCTGGTGTTTGTGATTTATCGAGATTTGTTTTGATGTATGGATTGTCAGTAACTAGAAGCCTACTTATTTATACCTTTCTCGTCGTCTTACAAATTTTAGTTCTTTTATTGTTGGCTGTTCTTAAGTTATTTTTAAACAACTTCAAATGGTAACAGTCGATGATGACGTCTAGTTTCGAAGTGATCAAATTTTCAGAAACCATTCCAACGGATTGCTTTTTAGCACTGCAGTGATTATAAGCTTTTTGGTCATTTAACGATGTTTAATACTGACTGTAGAAACTGCTTGCTGCTTTCTCATAACAGAAACCGGTAATTTGCAACATTTTATCCAGTTTGATCCATTAACTATGAAAGACTGTTTAATCTTAAAATTTTACATTTGATCTAGCTTTAAATTCTAATAGGTCACATTTAATATTAAATGGAAATGGTTACAAACACATGACGTTTTCTTTTATCTAAATACCTACGCTAAAATAAAACTTTGATGTATCATACCTCATTACAACCTCACTGTTTATACCTTAGAACTGTTGATAATGTAAGATAATATTTAGATATTAATGTATAACTCGGCAATTAGGTTATTTCAGAATGGTCAGTAATCAAATTTAGAAACCAAATTACTTAGTTGTCAAAAAGATCTGTTAGTAAAGCTCCTATCGATCCTGCAGTAGCTAAACAATTTATAATCTAGTCCACTAACGCTGTTTTGGTTGTGAATACAAGGGCATGGAAACTGGATAAGGTTTATTAAAATCTTACCAGAATTATGTTTAATAATCCTCCTCATACCACTATGCCTATGTCATAAATAGAAAGAAACATTAAACTGAAAAAGTTTTGCGAGTTCTGTTCAAGTCTATGTATGACTAGTGCTTTATGGAATGGCCAACGCACTTGACCAGATGCTGTGTACTCTTCGACAGTGGTTTAGTGGTTAAAGCACTCCATCTTTCACTAACAAATTTCAGATTCGAGCACAAATTCATCTACATTGATTTGGGCAGCATTTGTTTGAAATATCTTATGGTACCGGTTGTAACCATTTTGTATATTCATTCATTTGAACTACTATATCTTTCGAATCCTTTTGTAAAGATTAGTGTCAAAGAGCACCTTTAGTTCGAACACTAAATAATTAAAAATGTATAAATGTTAAGGTCGAAGATTATGTCCAGGACGTCTTTGAGTACGAAGTTGTGACTTATCGAACCCGCTTTCCTGGTATACCTAACATTTCGAAAAAAAAATCACTTTTATGGGAAACGAACTTGTCTTGCCTAAACACTTACATAATGGATCGTTTTTACATTTATCGTGGTAGTTTTCAAACTACAGATGAGGCTTCGCTTAATTTGCACATGACAAAACAGAATTTGGGAAAAACTGTGTTGTGTACTAACAAATGTCCCTATTCGTTAAACATTATAGATTACATTGTATTAACTCGTATGGTTCTATTCTTATGGGATATCATCGTACAATTGTTATGGATTCGGTTGAACATGAGACTCTGAGTTCATATACTGTAATACTGTGTTTTTCATGATCGACACTACGTAAAATTCACCCGTTGCCAAACCGCTCATCAGAGTCCTAGAAAAAGCATCCGTGTATTTCCTCCTCTTACCTACAAAATTTCTTGTCAGTTTATAAATATGAACTGAAATTGATAATCTTATTTATCAGTATAGGGTTGTGAAGTTTATTGAGTTTATGAACTGATCAATGTTAGACCACCACTGAATATATGGAATCTCGGAGTTCTAGTGAGAAGCCGTGATCAGTGAATCTTATTTATATTCTTTTTCAAGTAAACTGATTGAATATTCAGTTATTTCCAAATAGCACATCGATCAAGAATAATTTTTATATTTAGACGGTTTTCCTTATGACCTGTAGTTTTACTTTCTCTTGGGTGTCATACGAAATCTTTCCCACTTGACGGCGAACCTTCACGGGTTAAATCGTTTGCTGTAAAAGATATGTCATTACAAACGCCGTATATATTGTTTGAATTTCCAACAATCGTAATTTATAGCATAATTGTCCTGTTGAAATAACTTGTCAATGATTAAACCTCATTCGATTACTTTCTCATTTCTATATCTTTCATCAACCGTCCATTAAATAATTTTCTTCTCCCTTTTTCTAACATTGACAGCGGAATCACCCCAATTATCTGGTAGAGTAATTATTGCAATAGCAAACGAACAACGAGATAAGCTACTTTCAAGAAATGGTCAAGTCATTCTAACTTGTGATATAGCTGACGAATATAGCATTAAAGAAATAGATGGCAGAAAACCAATTAATTTACGTTCATTACAATTAGCTGTGAAATCTCAGTATTCTTTACTTGGTTACTTTATCCCTGGTTTTATTCGTATTCCGTTGAGTTTGGTAACATACTTTCTTCGTCGTCAATAAACGTTCGATAGATTGAAAATGAACAGATTAAAATACACGATTAAATATTTATACAGTAAACTTATTATTGCATATTTTCACTTCTACAGTGTCTAACAGTATTTTTTCTTAACTTGCGCTTAATGCCATTACTTTTTTGGATGCTGTTTCACAATACATTTAAGGGTCAGAGTAGCTGGTTATTCTCACTGCTGTTAATTTTATTTCACAGTTTGAAATGTAAATGTTCTCACGGAGGTATGTAAGTATTATTGACCTAAGTGTTTCGTCGGTGGTTAACCCAGTCAACTTATATTTTACTTAATGAGTAATTAATGTATAACGTATTACAGTTTCATAAAGCGCCCTATTAAAACTTGCACAGTTAATCAAAGAAATATCTTAAATTCGTTTTGTGTATTGAATTCTTTACTAATATTAATGTATCCGTCCCAATAAGTTCATAAACTCACCAAATATGACTGAATACATTAGGGCTCTTCATGATGATCCAATAAATATTCGAGGCATGTTTCAGTCTGTCACACAAAATGACTAAAATTTCTCAAACAATTGAAGTGTAAGATACACTAAATCACCCATTAATGGGAAAAAAGGTTAAGATAAAACCAATTTTTTCTTAAGGAAACATAAAATTTCCCTGAATAAAAGAAGCGTTATTTGAATATATATTTGAAATTACAAACAGTTGGTTTAACGCATTCATCTTTTTTCAATGATAAATAGCTTATTGTATCAACTTCCTCTTTACAATGAAGCTTAAGCACCAGTTTATATTTCCTATACTGATTTTCGTCGTTTGACCCTTAACATGACCTTTTCGCTTGACCTCTTATCATTTTTATTCTTGTTTGCTTCATAATATTTCATCTGTACATTTGTGGCTGGTGTTGTAAATACATCGCATGACCCAGACAATTCATATTTTATGGAAACTTACTAAGACAACCTAATATAATGATTTGAAATATGACAAATTTATCAGTGTTATGACTTGAGCCAAATGATGGTTAGTGCTATTGGTACGTTTGTTTGCTACGACTGACGGATAACTGTTATCTACCACTCATTACAATGTGACGGAACTATAGACCCAAGGAAGAAAACAGGACTGTAGAAGACAGATTTATTCACCAATTACTGATTAAACGACATTTATAGAAACAATAATGATTGATATATCAATTTAAATGGTTCGGCCAAATACAGAGTGATCCCTAATATCAGCAACCGAAAAACGCAAACTTTCAGGTGCCCCCCCTGAGAGGCTTCAGGGTTGTGTATTTTATCCCTGGTGAGGTCGTATATGTGTACTTCTGAGGAGTTGTATATAAGGATGGAAAAGTTATCAAGTCCTTCCTAGTTTCTAATTATTGCCTAATTAAAATCAGTCAAGGATTAGAAATACAAATTATTGAAACTGTAGAAGAATTATTTAACACACCATCGAATGTAATTGGAAACTACTGCCTGCTTAAAGCACTAGTTATACTATTCTAACGAATGATGGGATACATTTCTCCAATGTTCATATGATCATTGGTATTAGCATGGGTGCGTGTAGATTTCTCAAGTTATAGTTTGTATCACTAATTTGGCAACTGATCGATCGCGAGGATTGAAAAAACTTAGTGGCAAATATTATGACCGAAATCCATAAAAAGTAGACTTCAATAGTTCATTGCCATTCAATTTCTTGGAAACTGTTTCTAGAAATTTTCACTATGCATATTTGTATTTCATACAAAAGGATACTTTGGATACGAGACCTAAATTAATGCTCTGATTTCTACTCCTGATGATCTCACTCTAAGAAAAAACATCAATATTGAAATTGTAGCATTTTAGTTATATTTAAATATACGAGATATCTCACTAATTAAATTCGCTCATAGATATTTGTTAATAAATCTTTCCGGTTGAATCAGTGTGAAAGTTTACCATAAAAAGTGGAAATAATACAATAAGTAAATTTAAAACAATTAATCCCTTTGATAAACTTCGGTAATGCAACTAGAAGTCGAAGTTTATCAGAATTATGTGATATATTTGAGCAATACATTTCGAACAATCTGATCACGTTTTATATGAAAATTTTCACATTGATCAATTAAGCAGAATTACTTAACCTACAATATGAACAGGAACGTACACAAGCTCCATAGAGAAGCTAAGAAGGATAGGTCGATAACTCAGACTTTACTGACACGACGAATAAATTGTTTAATCTCTTTACCAGTTTTTCCTGAAAATTAGTTTTAATTTCTAAAATCAATTATCTCTGGTCCTTGTAAAAATGAGTTAAACTCTTCTTAAAATGTAGCTCTAGTATAAACGTTAATAACAGATTTAACTGTTAACCTCATTATCGAAATTTTGAAAAGAAAGATTCTACACTCTGTTTTAATTCAATATATGATGCTGAAAGCAAACAATTTTGGTCAACATTCTTGAGACTTTTTTTATTTTATTTATTATTTGTAAAGGAATACGAAATATCCTTTAAAAGTTTTCTTTTGTGAAACTTGATTATATGGTATGTTAGCGCAATACATATCGAACAATATGATCACACATATACTTGTTGGGCATCTTCTTCGTCTCTCATCCGGTCCATCAACACTGTTGAAGACTTTCCCTGGTACTGACAGTAGTGTGATGCCTCTGTCGTTTTCACATTTGCTCAGATCTCCTTTCTTTGGAATATTGATGAGGTGTCCTTCTTACCAATCCATCGGCACTTGTTCCTCCTCCCAAATCTTCCTGAATAGAAGGTGAAGCATACCTGAAGTTGCTTTGATGTCTGACTTCACCACAAAGCAACTGTATGCTGTGTTATCTAATGTTAATGTTTTCCTGTACATAAAATAGTATTCCTTTTTTCGTAACTATCATCTATAGAAATATATGGATGGATAATGAGATAATCATATTAAGGATTATCGATTTTATCCGTTTGCTTGTATGATTAGTAGATGTTTGGACTTTAGTATTTCTGTATTTCTAAATACATGAGAATCATTATTATCACGAATTCAACTATTAAATTATTGTTACAAAGTTATTAAAGAAACTTGATTTTTTACACCACTTAGAGACAGCTGAACAGCACAGAGTAAATTGTCTCACAACTAATTATAGATATTTTATAGTTTGCTTTTTAAGATACACTTAACTCATTTAACAAAGACGGATAAACCTATTATCCAAATTAAAAACTCTTTGAAGCAACAAGCTTTCTTTTCCATTGAAGCATAATAATACAGTCAGTGTCTAGTAGAACTATTATGGGAGAATTTCTAACATGAAATAATTCAATCTAGTGAAGTACCACAAAAGCAGTCACCGTTAAACAGGGTAAAACAATATTGCAAGAAAACAAGTAGATTAATGAATGTAGTCCATACCAATACATAAATAGTTAGTTCATTCAGACCACTTTTCATGAGTTGGATTTATCAAAGTAACCTATTGTATCACTGAAGAGAAATCAGCGAGGAAAATTTTCTTTTTGATGAAATCATTTATTTAGGCTGTATGTTCGTATTTATGGTTGTCTGATAAACGTATAAGTCTATAGAAAGATTGAAAAAAGATTGTGTTGTAAGGTGGTCCGAGATTTCAAATATCAAAAGGAGATTACGTCATAATCAAGGGTTTGGAAAAGAATGGGGAAATAAAAATAATTTTCAGACCAGAAATGTGAGATATGATTGCCCACTTGACGATTATGAAGAATAAGGTAAAACGCAAAGGTCATAACAAAAATTGATTAGTAGTCATGATAAATTGTTAACGGATAATAATAACTGATTACGGCTTTAAAAATACAGAATAATAATTAAAATAAAACATGACCAAAACACATCGGGGATGGGAGTTAAGGCCAAGGAAGGTGATATGAAGGGAGAAATAAAGAAACCATGACAAACCACAACAAATTCCATTTTTGAATTCAATTATGATCCTGAATATAATATCGTATTCGATCCCTCGTTTCATCGCTTTGAAGGTATATTCCGTATCGAATGCTTAAACCTTGGTGATGCAGCTAAAGTTCGCTTACTTCTGAGGGGACTTGGAACACGTGAATATAATAAATATGTGAAACTTATCCTACCACAAAATCCTCAAGATTTATCTTTTTAATGATATAGTTCAAATATCATCTAAAATTTTTGGAGAACAGTCCTCAATATTCAACATTCGCTCTTAATAATTTCAAATGTCAAAATCTCCATCCAATGATCATTCGAAAATGTGAATGATTTGAAATAAATAAGATTTCAGCAGATAAGTTCAAATGCTTGATTTTTATCTGAGTAGCCTAAATTTAAAGTGACTTTTACGGAGTCAAATCAAGAGCACGTTTGCGACTTTTAAAGTTGGATTTAAAAATTAACGGAAGTGTGTAAACTTATTAGTGAATATAAAACCTATGTGTCTTCAGTTAGATACGGCTTCCGATATTACATTAATTTTCAAAAACATGTGATGTCATCTAGAATTAACACGCACTATATCAACCAAACACGTTGCTGGAAATGCTTTTGGAAATATATCGGAATTAACAGGAAAATTAAAGTGTCAGGTGCTTTTTTAATAACAAAATTTGATGGATTTGTTATCTGACGAACCGGTATGATTTGGGATTACTAGGTTTAGACTGGATCGGGAAGATTGATATCCTGAATACTTGATTTTAATAAGGTATGTTCTCATAATAATTTTGAATAAAACGCTTCCGATGTACTCTGTTCTCATATATTATATTCTGATGGTCTTTTCACACAAAAATCCTTTGTTTCCTCTCAAATACCGATGATATCCCACATAAACCATCTGCAAAAAAGCATGCAGATGTATTCCAAAACAAGTTTAAAATGTATTTTTTTGTCATTTGGACAAAATTCAAGGCCTGTCTTCCGTCGAAAACGACTAGTGCCTTATATTGCTCTGTCAGTCGTTGATCAAGAACTTGACAGACTGGAAGTACTGAGTGCCAGACAGTAAATTATTCACTGTGAGCTGCTCCAATAGTAGCTGTGAGAAAAGCAAAT